ATGCTTGCAATAGGGCTTAATCATAAGTGGGATACTTGTCCAAGAAAGGGAAGTACCCAAGCACCAGTCCACCCACATATCAAATTATCAAAGTAACGAGCACAAATCATATGAGCATGATGAAAACTAGCTTGACGATAATTCCCATGTGTCCTCAGGAGCGCTTTTCTCTATATAAGAACTTTTCCAGGCTTGTCCTTTGCTACAAAAAGGATTGGGCCACCTTGTTGCACCTCATTAACTTTCATTGCTTATTACTCGTCACAAATTACCTTATCACAAAACTATCTGTTACCTACAATTTCAGTGCTTGCAGAGAATACCTTACTGAAAACCGCTTGTCATTTCCTTCTGCTCCTTGTTGGGTTCAACACTCTTACTTATTGAAAGGACTACGATAGATCCCCTACACTTGTGGGTCATCAACCACCCGGAGCGGCTCATTGGTGAAAGCTCGTCAGTCCATGCCGCTCGAGGGGACGCCCCCTGTGAGGGCCGCGTGGTTCTAGCGCCCAACCGCCACGACATCTCGAACTGCCCGGTCCTAGCACTGGCGCTGAGGCTCGAGGAGCACACGCGCATCAGGCGGTGCTCAACGCATGATCTGGCAGTTGGCCTCATCTCAAACTAGCGGGGGCGTTCCATGGGACAGGTCATGCGCCCGCGCGTCGCGTCGGGACCCGGCGACCTCGTCTCGCAGAGGAGGAGGTGGGGAGCACCGTGTGCACATCCCGAACGTAGGACGGCGGAGGGCAGAGCGAGTGGGAAGGCGTTGGGGTGTCTCCGACGGCATTGACGAACTCGGTGATGCGCCCAAGCCATACGTCGTAGCCAGCATCTGTGGGGCAGTAGCGGAGCAGCTCACGCGCCAGGAGCAGCACGACCTGCACGTTCAGGGGACACGACGAGCGAGAAAGAAGGAGGCCATGGCGGTGCGGTCGTCCGCCTGCACAGAGGGGTGTAGGGAGGAGTCTTGCTGCTCGTGAACAGCAGGGGCGATGGCGGCGGCGGCTGCTGCTCCGGCAGGGCGGCAGTTACCACGTCCCGCACGCTCCATATGGGCTAGGCGAACCACCTTGCGCTTGGCCGCCCGTGGCAAGCCTCGGCCATGAATCTGGCGGAGTGGAGTGGAGCAAAACGGAAGAACAGCAGCGCACCCCTACCTGGGGTGCCAAATGTCAGAATTGGGGCTCCAAGGACCCCAAAGGTTCAAACACCGGGGTGTGCTCCTTCCTACCGCCTCGTCCTTACCAACAGCTAAACCACGGCGAGGCTACGGCTAGAGCAAGCTAGCACAGGTGGATTGACGGGACGGTGGTTACCCAGGTTCGGGTCACCTCGCGGTGTAAAGCCCTACTCCTGCTTGGTTCGGATTGCTCACTAGAGAGAGTACAAAGGTTGGGCCTCAGGTCGTCGATGGGTCGATCCCTCTCTACAACAGCACCCCGCCCTCCTTTTATCATGCCTTGGTTCTCTTCCCCCGAAAACTTGGGCAGGAAGGGTTGCCACACAACGACCAATTTGAAGGGGGACAGGGGTGCTGTCTATCCTGACTAAAGGTGGTCTTCGCCTGCAAAGCCACCATCCATGAGACATCAGTGGGCTCACGGGTGACCTCTGCCCTACGCGCCCATCTCCCAGGTCTTCTTTCACTGATTGGGTAACCTTTGGGGGGTGCTTTGGGAACTGGAATGATGCCTTGCTCCCTTAGCATAAAAGGGGAAATCATCTTCACCTTTACCGGCTTGCTTAGCTCCTGCCACCGTTCGTGGCCGGGCGCATCACCCACGAGGTGGGCACAAGGCTGCGTGACCGATTCGAACAACCCTTGACTTGCTTGCCTCGGGGAGGTGCCTCGCGAGGCGACCTCATGAGGCTCTTGGTGGATCTGCTGCGCCAGGATTGCTCGCCATTACCTAACAAAACGGCCGTCTACTATTTGCGGTGGCCTTTTAGTGACGTCTCTCTCCTGGACTAGCTGCTAGCGTAGCTGCATCTACGTAAAGAGTCGGCCATCAAAGTGCCTTTTCCCCATCATTTCCCATGCCGGTCCGGTCATGGACCACGGAAATCAGTCAAGTCTCGTGACGATGCAGCTAGCTAGAGTGGAGCAGGAACTAATAAAAGGCCGGGAAGGAGCAAGATGCATATGAGAAAAGAGAAAATTGCACCGCGTTCGCTTTGGGTTGAGTGATATTTTGGCATCCTGCACCCAAAGGATTCCATCGCCAAGTGTCCCTTCTACGAACTCACTAGTTAACAATGTGCTTGCATGATCAACCTTGTAGTTCAATTTAGTACAGTACTGCTCACTCCTTTTTAAATATAAGTCTTTTTTAAAAAAATAATACAGACTATATACAGATGGTAGACATATTTTAGAATGTAGATTCACTCATTTTGCTTCTTATGTATTGAAAAAAAGACTTACTACAATTCATCAGTAGTACTGTATTAAAGTATATTTTAGAGTACATACGAAGTTTATATTTTGCTTCATATTTTAGAGTATAGGCATATTTTGCTTCGTATGTACTCCCTCCGTCCGGAAATACTTGTCATCAAAATGAATAGAAGGGGATGTACTTAGACGTATATTAGTTCTAAATACATTTTTTTATCCATTTTGATGACAAGTATTTGCGGGCGTAGGGAGTACTACTTTGATATACTCCATCTGTTCCTAAATGTAAGTTCTTTTTAGAGATTCCATTACAAACTACATACGGATGTATATAGACATATTTTAGAGTGTAGATTCATTTATTTTGCTCCGTATGTAGTCCATAATGGTATCTCTAAAAAAACTTATATTTAGGAACGGAGGGAGTATATTTTTAGAGTAATTTATATTGGAATCTCTTATATTTAGAAAAGGAACAAGAGGCAGTATATGAGTAGTAGTTGCTGCAGCTTGTCATCAGCTTCGGATTCTGCAGGTTGAAGCACACTTGCATGGCGAATTACTACAATCCATTCATAATTAACTAAGCGCAGGCGTCGATGCATGTCCTGTTGTCTTCTCGGTCATCTTCTTGATCCACCAACTCCAGCTCGTCGTCGTCGGCGGCGGGGTTGGCGAACCGGAGCCTGAGCCGGCCGCCCTCGCGGGACGCCTGCAGCAGCTCCTTCCCGGGGATCACCACCTGCGTCAGCACGAACCGCCCATCCGCGCGGAACGTCCGGAAGCACACGCACGGCTTCCCGCCGCGCCCGATCGATCGTATCGGCGGCGGGAACGACGGCGGGGACTCCCTCAGCCCTGGTTCCGCCGCAGCAGCTGCGTCCCTCAGCGTTGCTTCCTCCCTCTCCCTCCCTCGGAGGGCGGCGGCCGCGTCGGCGCCGTCATCCCTGACCATGTCGTCCGAGTCCACCGTGCTCTCGGACCCGAGCCCCTCTGTGCACAGCAGCAGCGAAGCCGAGCTCTTCTTCAGGCAGAAGCTCGCGCTCCTCCTGACGCCGCCGGGGGCGGCCGCGGCGCCAGCGGGCTTCGGCCTGAGGAGCGCGTCCAGCGACGAGTCGTCCTTGCTCTTCTCGGCCTGACTAGCGATGTCGAGCCACGACGCCGCCGTAGCGCGTGCATCAGGGAGTGGCACCCGTGGCAGGACGTGTCGGGCGGCGGCGCCGTCGGGCTTCTCGTGGAAGTGGAGCTCACCGAAGATCTCCGTGAAGGACGACGGGTCCACGGCCGGCAGCAGCTTCTTGTGGTGGGTGTGGTTGTTGCAAGCCGACAGCACCTCCAGCAGCGTGGGGTTCTCCGGCAACGGCTTCTCGAACAGCCGCCGCAGCGCGCCGTCCCCCATCCAACAAGCAGCGCCCCTCAGTCAGTCAGACGTAATAAAAAGGCTGCAGTATTTTTTGTGACCGTCGAATTTTGCTCAAGTAATCTCCGAGGAAGAGAGGTATATATAGCGAGAGAAAAGGAGAGGCCAGGAAAGGCGGATGCTTTTATGTGGCTGTCGAATCGGGATTCGGAAATTTGTTTCTTGTTTTTTAGGCTTTTCATTTCACAAGTGGAGCCGGTATATACTCCTACTGCAACTTGGGAGGAACTGGAAACGTGCATCTTGCACAGTTGTCTCTGTTCTTCAGCACTGGCCTGCACAACATGTCAGGGAGATGGAAATATGCAGGTAGAGCTGATGCAGCATTGCATTTGCATTTGCAGCTCGCACAAATTTGATGGTGATCTTTGCCCTGGCATCACCGAATTTCTGATAAGGTTGGGATTTCTGTTGGTGAATGAATTCCAGCTCCAACTGGCGCGGGAACGGGTCGAATTCGCACATTCCGCGATGGTTAAAACTTAAAACCCTGGGAGAAAATGGGACGATTTTCTCCGACCGGTGATGCCGATGCACTTGTCACTGAGGATCGCACTGGTGTCAAGTGCACCAGCAGACAGGAATCTGTTCCATTCCTAGCTGAACAGGCAGAAAGCTAGGTACAGTAGAAGATAATGCATTGCAATTTCTCTCGCGGCGAGTTTTTGTTTCAGCAATTTCATTTTCTCCGTGAAAACTGGAAAAGAGTTGATGGTGGATTCGGCGAACGACAAGGAACGAAGGAGAAAAGGTTAGAATAACTTCTTCTTTTTGTGAAAATCTCGGGACAGATTCAGCAAACGAAAAGAATGAAGGGCGGAAGGCAGAATAAAGCTATCTGATGCGATGAGGGGACATCGTGCATACAGCATACCATGGTTGAGACCTTACTTGAGAAAGGTCAGGATGAGAATAACACATGTTCAGGACGTCCAGAAACTTCCCACTCCAGGCAGTGAAGAAATGCATGTACAACAAAGGAAGAAAAGGCCACAAATTTACTCATAAGCAAGATACATATAAGTTAGTGAAGGCAGGGGGGGGATGAGCCTCAAAACAACATGATGATGATCCAAACACGAAATGATAAGCGCGTCGAAAATTCAAAATGTGCAAGGAAACAACACTGGGTCAGTCATCTATTACACAACAACAAAGGCAGTGCCACCGGGGTTTCTACCTCCACGCTTCGATCCGTTCGACCTTGGAGTTTATCCGGCTCACGATGCTCGCGCCCCTCGATTTTTCAGCTGGAGGAGCGGCGGGCGTTCCGCACTGCCGCTTGCCCTTTCTAGTCCTCCTGCTATTCAGGCCTCGGCTCCCTCTGCTCGGAAGTAAGTTGGCAGCTGTAGCACAGGAAGCATCAGCAATGGCAGACGAAGCGACAAGAGCAGGCTGCGAGCAACTAGCGGACCCTTCCACGCTCGACCGGACATCACTTGTATGGACAACGGAAGCTATGGAATCGCCTTCCACAGGAGGCTTGTCTTCAGCACTGTGTGTAGGACTGTACACAATAGGCTCCTCGCTGACAAAAGAGGGGCGCCCAGATGTTTCTTCAGGTTGAGGATTAACGGGGAGACTGGGGTTCTGATGGCCATTTTCATCAGATGGGTCCTTCTGTGGCAAAGAGGCATCTTCCAGATTGGACTCTTCTCTATCCTTGAGGGTCTTCTGTATTAGCATCTTGAGGAAATTCATCACTTGCACCGCGTACATCAGTGCAGTCAAAGGGTCTGCCATCTGCGTTACATGTGCGCAAGAGTTAGCATCCACCTAACTGATTGTTGCTAGTTTGCTGTTAGGACAACGCGTTACCTGGGTCATATTTGGTGCGAACACCATAGCAACATTGCGATCGCTCATCTTGTTTATCTGTTCTTCTTGGACAACATCAGCCATCAAATTAACAGCCCAGTCAAGTAAGGCTGCTTCAGTTGGTGGAAGGCATTTGGCAACCCGAGCACAGTCCTCTTCAGATTGGCATTGCATCACCTGTTCAGGTGGGATAGAATCCAGCACCCCACTCGGCAGTTCCCTAAACCAGGCCTGAACAATTGAAAATATATGCAATGAGTATAACATTTGTCATCAAGAGTATTGTTTGCAAAACGAAGTTGACTAACTCAAGGACATAAAATTGTGGCATCAAACCAGTTAATAACACCACATAACTGCACTGAAAAGCAGCAATAGATTCTGCAACAGAAATTTGTTGGACAGAAGAGTCGTAACTTTGGTTTCCCTTTGAAAAAGAAGACTGGTTTCCACTAGAAAGAAACTCTGGACTGACAAGTGTTGAGATAGAATCCGTCTATTGAAGATAAGCGTAATCAATAATAAATATGTGAGTGTTGCTGTCAACGGAATGGCATAAAGCTACATGACAGAAGAAAGCTTACTTTGATTAGACCCGCCAAACAGTGAACATCAATGCCATCCGGCACAGTTCCACTATTTAAGTGATCTCTCACAAACTCTTCCTGGCTATTCTCCGCATTTATACGAAAAATACCTTCTGCCTGCAAAGTAAAAAACAAAACAACATGAATGCAGTCAGCACTCAGGAAAAGCTACAGGATGCTTAAAAAATAAGCAAGTTACAGTTAATTAAAATGCTAAAGCGTCATACCTGAAGACCTCCTTGTTCATACAGACGTCTTTGCATCATCAAGAGAATCGTTGGAACACTGTTTCCTCTGGAATCATATGAACACTGCATCGATTGTGTTGAAACGCCGAAGACACTAGCACTGCATTTGAAGTTTGAATCAGCTGAAGAACACCAACAGCACAAGGAAACATGAACTGGAACTAATCATAAACAATGCTCTAAAATACACCTTACAAGTAGAAGTAAAGATCACACAGTCACTTGGCATATTTCGGTTTTTTTGTTTTGAAGACAAGTCAAGGCATCTTTTCAAGGACCATATCTCAGCAATTAAGATGGTCTGTAAGAAAATTGATGAATTCTCCCAAGTTATGCGGGAACTCTACATTCGTTGCATGCTTAAAAAATTGGCATCACCATAAAGATGTGGGCATATTTCACATTATTATTAAGTGCCGGTTTCCTAACTCAAGTGTGTAAGCAATCCAGGAAATAGTTTTCAATTTTCTTTCAAGATCTTTGCACATCCAGAAGTTTCTGATTATTGAATGAGCACAACTCATATGCTCCAGTTTTGTTGATTGCAAATTTGCAATCCAGTTTGAACATGGGTTCTAGGTGTTTGTGCCACTTTATCTTCTTTTCGAGGCAAAATGATTCCATCCTTGTACAGAGAACCAGTTAGCTTATTCTTTTTAGATTGCCTAGAAATAATAACCACATCCTGGAATTCCCAAGACAAAACAATATACAATATAATACCTACGCGTGCTTTATTCTTTCTGCTCTTTTTCTAGTATAACCTCAAGAGGACCACAAAGCAAAAAAAAAAAGTTATTCAAGCCACTAAAGTCTGCAAAACACAACAAACAGATGCAGACAAATGATAATGAGCAAGGTGACGGAATCATCTAATCAAGACAAAATATGTCCATTCTCCATTGTAAATCACGAAATTCCCAACAGTTCTTCTTTGATCTTCCAACATGACTTAGCGTTTAATAATCTATTTCTTGATATTCCCAGGTCAATCAACTGAATTCCTACAAGTATACAGTGTTCCTTAAAAGGGGTCATTAGCGTGCCAGGTAATGCATGTGCAACTGTGCGTTCAAAAGGAGAATGGCTAAAAAAAATAAAGAGCGGTGATGCAGCAATACAGGCACCACCGAGTAGGTCTTGCACCGGATGAGAAATACCTTATTAGTTTAATATTTGTATAGCAACCATAAGCACTCCTACCAAACAAAGCAAGAGGTGATACAGTTGAGCTGATCCAAGAAGTTATGACTTAATAATGGCATGAGTGTGCCAACTAAGTACTAGTACCTTCTGATTTTCGGAACCCGGTTAAAATTCATAACCGTACACTTTATAACACATGGATGTTGGGCAAAAAATATTTATTTGGTGGGTTTGCTTACAAGTCAAAACATGATTCGAGTTGATGAGAACACTAAAGTGAACAGAACGGCTGCTGTAACTAGTAGAGGGTTTGTAATTTTCAAATTTAACACTGTCTGTTAATTTCTCTACTTACAACGCAAGTGTTCTGTTCCATTTCCAGCCTCATTAAAGTTATGGGTATTAATTTCTTCTTTCTTGATTTTATGAGTAACCCGTTACAGAAAAGCAATGTAACTCTGCCCATAACAGGCATGGAGAGCCATGATTGGCCAATTATTAATGAAACATGGGGAAAACTCAGCACAAACTATTTCTGGACAGAGTGGTGGTCCAAAGCGTGCCCATCATCATAATTCATAAACAGTTTATCTACCATAGATCAACTCCAGCTCAGGCAGCCAAGTACCAGCAAAGAGGGGAAGAAGTCTACGGAGGCACCTAATCCGGTTGTGTGCGTTGGCCTCATATTAATATACACATAACTGAAATGAAATATAAATTCCACCTGAATTTATCTGTCCACCCAGCTTCAGACCAAAGCAAACAGGTTGCAATGCCAGCCAAAATACCATCTGCTTGTCCCGATTAAAACCACGACCAAAACAGGCAAACAGTACTAGCATCTAAATGTTGACATGTTGAAAAGTGAAAACTACTTAGTTCAGAAATAACAGTGCGAACTGGATGATACTGAATATGCAGAAACATTTTGAGTTTCGGAAACACAAGCATGTTTTGGGAGCTGGTGTACCAGCTGATGAAGGAACATGAGAAGAGACAGAGAAGAGAGCGCGACGGACCTGGCACTGGGAGCGCGGCGGGGCACCTCGGGCTCGAACTCGACGGGGAGCCCGAGGAATCCATGGAACCGGTCGAACGTGACGTGCGCCACGTGCTGCACATCCGTGGGCAACCCTATCTCCATCCCGCCCTGGCCTTGGCCGCCGTCCTCCGCTCTGCACCGGAGCAGCGACTTCCGCAGCAGCTCGAGAAGCAGCGCCAAGAAGGACCAGCGCTCCTCCTCCTCTTCCTCCTCCGATCCTCCAGCCTGTCGCTCCGCGGATCCTGCAGGGCTCTGGGCGCTGCTGGTGGTGCCTCTCTGGAGCACGTCGCTATCGGCTAAATAGCGCAGGGAGGTGGAGGAGGAGGAGGAGGAGGAGGAGCCGCGGCTTGCGGGCGAAGCGAGGTTGGTCGGGCCCCGGAACAGCGCCACCTCCGTCATTGCTTCCGCCCCTTTTCCGCCCGAGCTCCCCTTCTTCTTCTCGGGGAATTATTACGGTGCAGCCAGTAATCTGGTGCGGCGTAGGGCCGATTTGGCCAGGAGGTTTGGGATTTCCTTCCTTGTTCCTGGGTGGTGGTGGTGGTGGTGGTGGTGGTGGGGTGGGCCAAATGCCTGGGATGATTGGATCCTGGTAGTGGAGTTCTTGGTGGCGGGACGCTAATTCAGGATTGATTTCTGCTCTGGTGGCTCTCCATTGGAGATTGCTGGGACGGGGAGGGGACGGGATTTGGGTGCTGCATGCGGCCGCGTGGTCCAAATCCACAGCGGGGCGGGGCGGAATGGAACGGGTATTCTAATCTGGGTTGCGCTGGGGACAAAAAAATAAGAAAAGGAATCCAAGTGGATCTGTGATTAGGGAGGGTTTCTTTGATGTGGTGGTGCGTTGGGTGGGTAATGGTGGATAGGATTTGTGTGGAGGTGGAGCTGGAGTTGGAGTTGGAGTTGGATTGAAGGGAGGGTCAGGCCAGGGTCGACGACGACGAAGATGATGATGATGTGAATGTGATCATCATCATCCTTGGTCTCCTCCTCCTGCCTTTCACGCGTGCGGTGCGGTTCTTCTCTTCTTTCTACTACAGTATTTATTTAGTACTATTATTATTTAAGTGTGCCATCCAAGAGAGACGACAGCTAAATTAAGCCGAGAGTAATGATGTGATGTGATGAGCAAATTAACTAACTACCTCGTGTACTTGATTCATTCGACTGACTGTACTGTTTGGTTGGTACCGTGCTCCCTTTTCGAACATGACTATCGCTTTTAGTTGGCAGCACTTTTACGACTATACTTCGTAGATTCCGTGCGGGTGGTGCCTTTTGGCAGGTTTGGTATTCACACGTTGAATTCAAGGAACGACCGTGTGTAAGTCGAATGAATTTTTTTAATACACTTTTTCTAGCCGTTAGATCTCCATCCAACAGTCATGATCATAATGTCACTGTTCATCTTCTTCATCCTATGCCACCACCCAGCCCAGCCCTAACAGCTGGCCTCCATCACCCGTGGCTAGCGGCACTCCCTCGACGACCTCGCCGCCCTACCCTCCCTTCGCCTCCCCCTCCCCCCACACACCCACAC